TTAGCTCTTACAGCTGTACAAAATATTATAGTCTGCCCTATATATTGGGTCTGACTGTTATAATCTTGGCCTTCTATATATAGAGGCTTGATCATCTGTCTTCATATATAATTTTTCTTATTAACTACAATTAGTTGTATCTTTTAGTAAGATAATAGTTGCATTTATATATTTGTAGAAGTATTTTTGTTTATTGTTTGTATAGTGATAACACCAGATAAATCATGCAATTCTCATTTTGCATGTTTATACTAATCCTTATATAGTTTTATTTTGTATTTATACTGACTATTTTACAATATTTAGAAATATATCTATATATATTAGCTTGTATTTCTCTATATTCTTAATCAAAAAGTCTTTGCAGTTATAAGCTTTTGGGTATAGAAACCATATTTAGGACTTTTCAAGTGATCTTTTTAATTAGTGTTTTTGTGAATTTTTCTATACAGATCTACTATAACCTAATATGAATTTATCTTATATTTACACTAACTACTTTATAATGTTTAAAAATATATCTATATATATCAATTTGTATTTCTTTATATTCCTAATTGGAAACTTCTTGCAATTATAAGCTTTTAGATATAAATATTATAATATGAATTATTGCAGATATGTTATTAACTTTACTTGGTTTCATATCACAAATTATAACCAATAAGCCAATATTTTTAATTAAGTTAATATATCAATTGAAGTATATAAAATTTTAATATTCAATATTTATTAGCAATATGAATTGAATCTTGAACTCTGTTACTTAAATGCAACAACTTGACTGCTTTACTAAGTCATTACACACTTATATTTTAAAAATATTTTAGTATTATAAATAAAAATTTTAAAATAATATAATAATAAATATATATCAAATTTCTTTAAAATTTATATTTTATAATGCTTTCTAAAATCATCAAACTATTTTGTTTTGGATCAAGTATAGTTTGACAGACTGCTATATTATATGCAACATTTTTATAAATTATATTATTTAAGAGCCAAATTTTTTTTTAATATTAGTGACATAATCATATCTTCTAAGTTTTTAGAAATATTCTTAAAGAGTCACTTATAATAGAATTTGGTTTTTATAGATCATTTTCATTCAAGAATGATTTCAGATTTTATTTTATTATTAATAGAAATTAAGAGATCCTCAAATATAATAAACATAGCAAATTGATCTTAATGATTAAAGTACTTTATAATAATCTAAATTTCTTCAAAGCTATAAAAATTTAATAAATTGAATATTAAATATTTGAAAATATTTAAAGTATTTTAAAATAATTTGAAGCTGTTATCATAATACTGTCTATATATTACATGACTAATTATTTAAATTTTTGTTATTAGTAGGTTTTAAACTTACAACCTATTACTAGAAGATTGACAACTTATTCACTTTACTAAGTTGTCATATACTATAAAATATTAATGTTAAATTTGTTATCATTTGTATTTTAAAGAAAGATTAATTGACATTATCTTTACTAATATAGTGATAAAATATAAAATAAATAGAATAAACATTAAAATCTTTATAAATTTTTTTTACATTAATGATTTTGTATTTATTATAAAGAATAAGATGTAAATAAGCTAAATTAAATGTAATTTGTGTTCTGTTTGAGGTGATATATAGTGAAATTAAATTGTATAAAACAAAAATCTTAGAATAATTAAAATAAGTAGAAGAGTAATAATAAATTTAATAATGGCCTATTTTCATCATAGATTTTTGCTATTTTCATCATAGTAATTAGCTAATTAAATTTTAAAAAAAATATTTTTTAAAGATTAAAGAAGTTTTTATTAAGTAAAAATTTTTTGGGCTTCTAATAAAAGTTGTAGTGCTTGTTTTTTTAATTCTAATAATAATTAAATCATCAAAATCAGCCTAGTAGATTTCAAGATATTGGAGATCAAAGAAAAAAGCAAAAAAATTTACAAATTACCAGTTACACAAAGTATTGTTATCAATAGAACTTTGTGTAACTGGCAATTTGTAGATCTTTTAGCTCTTTTTTTTGATCTTCAATATCTTGAGATCTGCCAAATTGATTTTGATGATTTACAACTTTAATTAGAAATTCAAAAAACTTTTACTTATTAGATTTTAGAGTTAGGATTGATAAAAAAAAATTATATTATTATTATAAAAACTAAAAATAAAAAATCTTATATAACCATGATAAAAATAATAGTCCTCTAAATTTATTAAGTAATATAATAAGAATTGAATAAATTAGTTTAAATAAAATAGAAAAGATAGGTTTATAAATAAGTTATTTTTATATATAAAATCTATTAAAAACTTAAGACAAAGTTTATCTAAAGTTTTAACTAAATATATATAGTTAAATTTGGATGCTAGTTTGTTTTTAGTTGATTGTTTGATAATTTTACCAGAATATATGAATAATAAAAAAGAAAAACTTATAAATTATTTCACTTATTATCTTGATAATAAGAAATAATTTATATGTTTTCCTTTTTTATTACTTATATGTTAATAAAATATAGTTTAATAAAGTCAAAATTTTGAGAAACTAGTTTGTTGTCAAAATAGGTATTATGTTAGTTATTAGATATTTCTTAAACTATTGTTATAGATAAATAGAATGAATTCTAGAATAGAGCCAATATAACAAATTGTTGCTTTAAAAACATCGATGTTATGTAATGTTATTTGAAAGCAAGACAAGACAGATATAATTTGACAATGGCTAAAGCAGCTTTCGAGTAAGTTACCAGGTAAGTATAGAGACTTTACAAAAAATATTTATTAGTATTATATTCTTTTCACTTTTTATAATTTATAATTGTTCTTATTTATTATTATTTTCTTTAATTTACAGAAGTATAGGAGGCCAGAGAGGTCCTGAAAGAGTTCTATCTCACTTAATGACAAAATAATAGACTTTTTATAATGAGTTATTAGGAAAGTATACTTGAGAACATTCTTCTTTTCTTACATTAATGTTTTCTTTTCTGCTAATTATACAATCCCACCTTTTTGACTTATAATTCTGTCTTTTAATTATCTTTTCTATTTTATAGATCCTGCTAATAGAATTATAGCCATATCTTTCTAAACATCTTTATGACTTAAAAACTCTGTTGTAAGCTTATAAAAGTAAGTTATTACACCTTTTTCCTTGTTGTGCATTATAATTATTCTACTAAATCTTTTTTCCTTTTCAGGTTTAGTAATAATTGTCACATGTGGGACCCAGACTTTCAATTGAGACTGACTTGTTTCAGATCTTGAAACTTCTCTTACATACAATGGGAAGAAATCAGGTTATACAATTGCTAATTTTAGGTCACAATCCAGATTATGATTCCAATTATGTTTTCAATTATGTTTTCAATTATGTTTTCAATGATCATTATTCAACAGCACTAACTGGATTTTCTTCTAACACTAATAAGGATTATTGGAAATATTTTCAATAATTTGGTTTTGTTTTTATTGTTTTGTAAATTGTTGAGAATTAGATTTTTTAAAAAAGATTGATTTATAAAATTGGATTTTGTTATAAATATATTTATCTGTTAATAAAATATTTATAAATTTTTAAGTTTTTTCTTCAGGTCTTCTTTGAATTTTCTTCTAATTAAAAGTGTTTAAATTTATTCAATTTGCAAAAAATAAATTATTGAAACAAAAGTTATATTTAACATATTTAATATTTCTTTTTAATATAAAAGTATTATTCAGATTATGATGTTCACCAAGGAATTTTTATGCTTTTATATATATAAATTCCATAAAATAAACATGTACAAAAATTTTTATCAAAAAAAACATGAATGTAAAGAACGTGAATCGTGTTCATGTTCCGTGTTGTTTAAGTTTCACATTGTTTATGTTTTACGTTGTTTATACAAGTATCAACAGAGTTTTACCATTTTATAATTTATATTATAAGTATTCTCGATTTTTCAAATAAGGTGTGGAATAATTTGGGCAAAGTCTTCTGATTGGTTGATATTAACTAACTTAACACAAAAATACACTATTGTATTCAGATTGTAAACTCTCGCATATTCCCTTTTATTTATCTATTGAACCAAAACAGCTCTCATAATTAGCTTCTTTACCTCGAAATCCAATACGAACAACTCAAGATTTACTGATTATGAAGGAGAAGAATTTTAGAAAGACATTGCGATTGAGAACCTGAGTTCACGAAAAAACATATAAAGAAAGATGCAAAATGGATAGCATTAAAAAAATTGCACCGTGAGTCTTTTACTATTTTTAGTTTATATTAAGCTCTTAAAAGTTGTTTTTTCTAATAGTGATCCTTTTCTAGGCACTAGATCTATTAAAAAATTCTTATAAGGAAACCAATGAACCTTTCATGTCAACGTCCATTGCCTGAACTAGATATAACATTAGGCGGAGGTATACCATGCTCATCCTTAACAGAAATTGAGGCCCACAAATTTCGGCAAGACTCAATTCTGTCTTACACTATCAATTCTTGCCACATTACCTGTTTGCATGAATGGTCTTGTCGGAGGAACATGCTATATAAGTACTCAAGGCACTTTCCCTGCGGAAGGTATTTTTAATGTCTTTTTTGGATATTTTAAACCATGTTTATTTTTTATACATGATTCTCATTTTAAGATCTATAGGTTAATGGAAATCGCAAAGTATAGATTCCCATTTATTTTCGGTGATGAAAATCCACAATGTCAGGATAATCTGAAACAAAATGGCCAATGCAGTTCATTTAATGAAAGCCAAATCCTCTAATGAGTTGGCAAATATGTAAAGAAAAATATAGATTATTTTCTCATTATAAAATGAATTCCTGGATATTTATTTTTTCGATAGGTAAAGGATTTTCAAGAATTCATTATCAAGAAAAATATTAGACTATTGATAATCGATTCATTTTGGGCTCTTATAAAAAAGGAATTTATTGGTAAAAATGATTCCTTAGACAAAAGGAAATCTACAGATTTTTCCAATAATGAATACATTAGTGATCACAATGAACAGAAATGAAGGGATATATAAATAATTATGTAAATATTAACGCTATATACATGATATTACATTACTTATTTTATTTAGCTTCGCAAACAAGAATTAGAGAATCTTTCAGCTGCAACTCATGAGGTTCCTCAACACAAAAATTTTTGCCAAAGGATTCCAAGAAAAAATATCTCTCATGCAATGAAAAAGGTAACACCACCTTCGCCTTTTAGAATTGCAGTAGGATATACTACAATTGTGATAGATACCAATTGCCTTATCGGGGATCTCAACATGGTCAAAAAAATCATCTGAAGTGATAATTGGATGGTGGCTGTACCTTTGGTTTGTAAGTATATTAAATATTAGTGTTCTGTATAAGATTCGGACCGATCTGTTTCACTGATAGATCGAATTCGAACCACATAGAGGATCCGAACACTAGTTAATATAATAGAAACATTTGAGTTTTATTTTATTATTTTATTTATTTAAATTTTTTCTTATTCTCATAGTTATCACGGAATTGGGTAGGTTAAAGTTTAACCCACCCCTCTTGGCATTGCAGCATCTGAGGCAATTACTTATCTTGAACAAGCTTTATTATTGTCTAAAAAACTCAGAGTTCAGACTAGTGTTACAGCCTAAACCGAAACTTTCGGTCAGGGAAACTTCCAAAACCTTCGAAACCTAGTTTCACCCAAGGTGCCAAGTCCGAAACGTCCGAAACTGTGTGAAACGTCTGAAACTGGCAAAACGTCCGAAACTGGGTGAAATGTCCGAAACTGGGCAAAACATCCAAAACTAGGCGAAACTGGGTGAAAGTTGATCTTATCTCTATCAAAATCAACATATCACGTGACACAGACTTCGATACGACGATTTCTAAAAGTTGCGTGACCACTGCACTTAAAATCAACCAATGAAATGTCTAAAAATTACATTGGTCAATTTTAAGTGCAGCGGTCATGTGACTTTTAGAAATCATTGTATCGAAGTCTGTGTTATGTGATATGTTGTTTTGATAGAGATAAGATCAAGTTTTATTCAGTTTCACCTAGTTTTGCCCAGTTTGCCCAGTTTTAGATGTTTTACTCAGTTTCAAACATTTCACCTAGTTTTGGATGTTTCATCCAGTTTCAGACATTGCATTCAGTTTTAGACTTTTTATTCAATTTTTAGATTTTTTATTCAGTTTTAGACATTTCAGATTTTGGACAAAAATGAAACTCAAGATCTGAAATATTTTAGACTTCAGTAAAGGGTTTAATTTGTAATATTAGTTCAAACAAGTAAAAACAATTATTTAACTTTAATAAAGAAATTGATTTCAGTGATAATGAAAATAAAAGAAAATTTTAAATAATCTTATTCTTGACAGTATACTAAGAATTATAGAATAATGGTTTTATAGTAAATTAGAAAAAGGTAACAATAATAATAAGGTCATTGTATTGCTTACAAATAATTAAAACCTTTGAGTCAGAGTACAAGCAAAAGATGTTGAAATTGTAAATAGGGTAATATTATATTTAAAATAGTAATTTATATATCTAAAGTAGTATTTTGACTAAAATTATAACTTAATGCATACATGAAGATCTAATTTCAGAAGTTTAATTTTAACCAGATATTGTTTTAGATAAATTGCTATTTTAGATCCAACAGTAACAGCCCAAACTACTTTTTTAAATAATAACATTAATATATAATTTAGTTTGAAAATTGTGATTTCTACTTTATATTGGTTATATTTCATTTTTGATCAATAATAATCAAATTTGTTAAATTAATGTTAAAAAATATAATATACTTATATGTACAAAACTAACCAAAATAGATTTATAAATTAAGATTAGATTATAATTGAATAAATATTTATATAATATAAAAAAACAGATAATTAGTAAATTGATTAGCTTAATAAATTTTATAATATATAGGTTTTTGATAATAATAAATTTTATTTAATAATTTTAAAGAATTTTAAGATATGGAATAGTCATAGTTTTGTAATACAATAGGTATATAAAAACTGAAATAATTGGGCATCTGTTTATTATTTTAAGTACATTATATGTATTCTTTTAAGATAAAAGTTTCTTAAGTTTATTTATATTATATAGTATATATAAATTCATATATTATATAAAATATGTGTTATTTTAGAACATTTATTTGAAGTTAAATATACTATTTTTAAGGGTAGGGGGAACTATATTAAAATTATATATAAATTTAATTGTAAATTTTTTTTATATTTAATTTTATAAAAATTTATACTAAGTAAACTAATATTAATTTATAAGAGAAGTTTGTAGAACAGGTCTTTCTAATTTTAATAATAGTAAAATTATTAAATTTAGTTAAAAACTCAGTAAGATATGACTTTTTAAAGATTAGGTATAAAAATTATTAATTAAATTAACTTATAAGGTTACAGAAATTAACCAATCAAATTTAGCAAATTTAGAAATCTCATGCTACCCCAGAAAATTTTGAACTGACTCAGAAAATTTTTGTGATATATACAAGTATATATTTTTTAAATATAATAATAGTTCAAAATTTTACCATAATAGATAAATTATTTTATTTATATTTTGTAAAATTTTAATAAAAATTAGTTGTAATTTAAAAAAGTTTTATTAGTAACATATGTTGATTTTATATGAAAATTTCAGAAAACATATAAAACTATATAAAAAATGATTTACATACCTTTTACCCTTAAGTAGATAATTAAAACTTTGTTTTTAAGAAGGTTTTTGATTTAAAGTTAGCTAAGTATTATTTAAAATAGATAAAATTAGTTAACTAGAAGTAAATTTGCAAAGATAAATTTTAAAAAAATTAAAAAGTTGTTAAGCATATGTTGTATTAAGTTTTGTATTTTGCTTAATCTTTTTAGTAATAAGATAATTAAAAAACTAGTCTAAATTCTTGAAAATATTTCTGATTTGGTTTGGTATATTTTTTGGTTGCTGTTGTTTTTGTTTTAATTTGGATTTTTGTTTAATTTTTTTGTCTCTAATAGCAAGTTTTTGAAGAAGTTTGATTTTTTCCTTTTTGGTAAGGTTAAAAAAATAGTAAAAGTGAAAGATAGAATATTGATCTTTAATAAATTCTTTGATTTAAGCATAATGGCAAATTTTGATTATTGGGCCTAAATTAGATTACTATATTTATTAATTAGAACTCTAAAATGTTAATCACAAGTAGTCATCTGATTAAAAATTACTCTGTTTATTTTTTTGAAAAAACCCTTAAAACAAATTTTAAATATAATATAATACTGTCTAACCAATGGCCTTATCTCAAAACCAATAAGTTTTTAAATGAAAATAGTATATAAATATAAAGAAGAGTAATTGTATATATGTATTTTTTTTTTTAAATTCAGCAATCTTAATTGTATATGTATATATATTACTTGCTAATAAAATTATATTAACTTATACAGTATATTAAAACAATATAATGTTTAAAGAAGAACTACTTCTGTTCTATTTGTAAAATTAAATATTATTTAACTATATGTAGTCTTACTCAGCATAAAAATGCTACTCATAAAGATTACAATATAATTTAACTTGGCATATCTTAATTATCAGCAGATTACATAGCAGAATTTAAAAGAATGTTAGTATATGCAATTCAAAAATAGTTGCCTTTTCATTTTTCATATTCAGAAAACAATTAGTTAAGTTTCTTTGTACTAAAAACCAATTTGTTAGTATTTTTAGTAGATATATAATCCATTTTTCTTTGGCAAAAAGTTCCTATTATTGCATATTTAAAGATAAAAAATGCAGACAATATACTATCTGAGATTTTTAAAAATTAACAATAGGGTACAAGATTTTATAATTCTGAGCAGTATGCTTATATTGTTTTGTATATAGAAGACTTAAATCAACAACAATCATCTTACTACAAAAAGAAAATTTATAAGCAAAACCAAATTTAAAAAAACAACCTGAAATGCATATACAATAGTATATTGAAAGTTTATCAGATATAAAAAGACATTCTATCTCATCAGGCTATATTAGTATTATTTTTAAAATAGACTATAATTATAAATAACTTTAAAATAGTAAAGGTAAAGTATTTTTTTTAAAAAAAAAATTTTTGTTTTTAGTTTATATAAAGAGATATAAATTTATTAATTATTTCTTATTTTATCAATAGATTTAGAATCTAAACTTGTGCTTAGCAAAAAATTAAAAAATAAAATTAAATATTAATTTTTATATTTTATTTTACTTAAAAGTGTGGCAACTTAGTGAAGTAGATAAGTTGTCAACTCTTCAAGTGGTAGATTGGAAGTTCAAAACCTACTGATAGTGAAAATTTGGAAAACCACCTATGTATATTAGTACTATGGGTATCTGTGCAATGTTGGAGTTATATAAAGGAATATAAACTGGTATTGGGCAATGCAAATCCAAGATAAGTCTTTATGTCTGGTACTATAACAACAGCAATTTGTTGATCAGTTGAGATCAGTACCTGTAATACAGTCATACCAGATAACTGGCAGGTCATAGAGCATCTGTGCAATATTGAAGTTATACAGAAGAATGCTAACCAGCATTAGGCAGTGCAAACTTAAGATAAGTTCTTATGGTTGTATAAATCTGTGAATTAGAAAAACCAGAGCCTACTTGGAAAGATTTGAGTAGAGAAGTAGCACAAATCTTTGATAGTACTACTATAAAGGCTAGACCTAAGAAACAGATATCAATGTAGAAGAAATCAGGCAGACAAGAACCTTGGATGAGAGGTACCACCAACCAGGCTATCAGAAGTCTCAAACTGAAGAAAAAAGACCTTAAGAGGCAGATCTTGGAGTACTAGAGACAGGTCATAGTCCTACTGGACTATCTGGATTGAGAGTCTGAGGTCAGAAATAAAGGTATACTATAAGTACTAGAGATATGCTGTAAAGTTGGTGCTGAGGTCTGGATAAACTCTGCAAGGGTGAGCTTTGCTAACAAGATACTAAATATGGGTAGTTAGTTAGCAGAAGGACCCTCTAGAGCCTTACAAATCAGGTAATGTACTCTAAAATATATAATGGCTTAATGGATATATAGACAAAAAGATTACTGTTAGGTTAGATGACACTTAGATGTACAGGAACTTGTGTGCTATTTGTCAATATAAGTATAGGGATCAGAGTGTTTAAATAGGTAATCTCCTAGTAGTTGCAGGTATTGCAGCTAGTGTAAAACCTGCTATACAGGTGAACTACTTAAATTAGACAACCAAAAGTTGTATATATAGCTAGTTGTATACTCATCTTGTAC